TTTTTCATTTTTATAGAATTTAGTTAAGACCTAATAATAAAGGTATATTTTTATTTGGCCTCTTTTTTAATGAGTACCTTGATTGATGGGTGTTTATTCCCAACCAGATTAGAAAAACGATGATTCCAGCATTGATTATTTGTTCGTTCTTCATCTGAGAGAGTGCTCTGATTGACGTTCCAGGTTTCTGAAGGAAATCGAGGCTCAATTCTACGTGTTTGGGATTGAAAATTGCTTCTCATGACCTCCCTTGATACTCCATTGACATAATTTTTATCGAAATAATCAAGAATGTCCTTACCATTGCTCGGAGTAACTGATCTCAGGAATGTCATTGCATTGTCCATATCACATAACGGAACGAATGCTAAGCCGTCCATCATGCCACAAAAAACTTAGAGTTTCATTGGTCCTGTATTCGCTTTCCAGACCCAGCTTCTGAATTTTTCTATGTGTACTTTGACACAAATGGTAAAAACATTTTCTAATTACAATGTGATCCCCTAATTGAAAAAAAAATATAAATTATTAAACATATTAATAATCATACCAATGATATTCTTGACCGCGGTCATAGCAGACTTTTCGAAATCCATGTATATATATAATGGATCAGGAAATAAATCCCTTTCCTGACATTTAGACATTATTGTTTGAAATATTATTTCATAAGTACTTTGAGTTTTTTTCTGGAGTACACAATAAACCGCTGTAATAAAAATATTGTTTATTGCTACTCTAATCACATATAATTGTAGAAAATTTTTTGGGGACATGGCAAAATTACCATCCATATACCACTCTGTCCTATTAGATATTAGATTCAAGGAATCATCTGTTGCGAACACTATTATGCGTTCTTCAGCTTGTGGGCCATTATCAAATAATAAAAATCGTTTTGAGCTCTGGGAGCCACAATTTGCCCAATCACCTTATAATATTTAAATTTTTATGAATATATTATTATATTTACACTAATACCTTCAATAACTAGGCCTTCCAAATTCTCAAGATTTGAAGGGTGTTGCATTGCTTTGTGATTCCTTAGAGTTCTCTTTATAGAATCTTCCGATAACATATGCGACTGAACTCTTTGGTCTAATTTTACAATTTCCTCTGCATAAATTTGAAGAGGTTTTGCCAAAGATTCTGCACATCGCTTCTTCACGTTAGCAATGGATTTCATTGCTACTAGTCCATCAATATTTGATGGATGATTATGAGCTGTATCAAGAACCGGGTCTTGATTATCGAGTGTTGAAAAAAGTATTGCTCGGCATTTAAAAGAGAATATGAATAAAATATTTTTGTAAATTAAAATTTTTTTTTTGTCTTTATATACGGCATAAAGATCCAAATTATTATTGTTTAATTTTATAAATAAATACCAATTATAGCGTTTTTAATTGATAAACAATTTTTATTCTTTTGATTAAAAATACATTTTAAAACTTTTTTCCGGAGGTTTTATTTCCTGGGGGTTTTTTTCCGGGGATTTTTTTTTCCTGGGGGTTTATTTTCCGGGGGTTTTTTTCCTGGGGGTTTATTTTCCGGGGGTTTTTTTTTCCTGGGGGTTTATTTTCTGGGGATTTTTTTTCCGGGGTTTTTTTTCCAGGGGTTTTTTTTCCTATTACCTAAAAAAATGTATATAAATGAAAAAATTTTAAAATAAAAGTTAGTGTATGGTTTTATAATTGAAGAAATTTATTTTTGTGGTATAAAATTCAAGATTTGGTTTCGTAAGATTATTAATCGAATTATTAATTTTTTATATATTCTTTTTTATTAAAACTAGGTTCCATTAAATTCATTAAAGTCTCTTCCACGAGCCTTCGACAATTTTATTACAATTCATATAAGGAATTGTAACACATTGATCGGATGTAATAAGTTTAATATTTCCCTTTTTAACTTAATTTAATTATTCATATATTTTATTCTTTATACCTTTGATGGGAACTATGCATTTTTGAAGCCATCATATTAAAATCATATTTCTGCTACTAGAGCTAGCTATTTCGCCGAAAACCAACAAAATATTAAAATTAAATATTTTAATTATTCCAATTTTTGCTACACAAGTTATATAATATTTATATTTAAAATAGGAGTTAATCATATATGATATTTATTATTTTTTATACCAAAGTTAAAATTTAAAAAAATAAAAGCTATAAAATTATTAAATTTGATGATTCATATTTAATTAGATGGGTACAATCAATGCACCGTTCTCACTTATTCAATCATTTAATAATATTGCCCCGCTTTCTAGAGGTGGTATTTATATACCACTTATTTATTTTAAATATTGTTGAAAAATTTAAATTATATTTTATTTATATAGACAAAAATAAAACTTTTTTCTGTAACCGACAATTTCTTACGTGCCTCAAAAAGTGGTACAAAAAAATATCTTTATTCCTTTTTATTTTCGCACAAAAAAGTAACTTTACTTTTTTAATGAGTACCTAGATTGATGGGTGTTTATTCCCAACCAGATTAGAAAAACGATGATTCCAGCATTGATTATTTGTTCGTTCTTCATCTGAGAGAGTGCTCTGATTGACGTTCCAGGTTTCTGAAGGAAATCGAGGCTCAATTCTACGTGTTTGGGATTGAAAATTGCTTCTCATGACCTCCCTTGATACTCCATTGACATAATTTTTATCGAAATAATCAAGAATGTCCTTACCATTGCTCGGAGTAACTGATCTCAGGAATGTCATTGCATTGTCCATATCACATAACGGAACGAATGCTAAGCCGTCCATCATGCCACAAAAAACTTAGAGTTTCATTGGTCCTGTATTCGCTTTCCAGACCCAGCTTCTGAATTTTTCTATGTGTACTTTGACACAAATGGTAAAAACATTTTCTAATTACAATGTGATCCCCTAATTGAAAAAAAAAATATAAATTATTAAACATATTAATAATCATACCAATGATATTCTTGACCGCGGTCATAGCAGACTTTTCGAAATCCATGTATATATATAATGGATCAGGAAATAAATCCCTTTCCTGACATTTAGACATTATTGTTTGAAATATTATTTCATAAGTAATTTGAGTTTTTTTCTGGAGTACACAATAAACCGCTGTAATAAAAATATTGTTTATTGCTACTCTAATCACATATAATTGTAGAAAATTTTTTGGGGACATGGCAAAATTACCATCCATATACCACTCTGTCCTATTAGATATTAGATTCAAGGAATCATCTGTTGCGAACACTATTATGCGTTCTTCAGCTTGTGGGCCATTATCAAATAATAAAAATCGTTTTGAGCTCTGGGAGCCACAATTTGCCCAATCACCTTATAATATTTAAATTTTTATGAATATATTATTATATTTACACTAATACCTTCAATAACTAGGCCTTCCAAATTCTCAAGATTTGAAGGGTGTTGCATTGCTTTGTGATTCCTTAGAGTTCTCTTTATAGAATCTTCCGATAACATATGCGACTGAACTCTTTGGTCTAATTTTACAATTTCCTCTGCATAAATTTGAAGAGGTTTTGCCAAAGAGTCTGCACATCGCTTCTTCACGTTAGCAATGGATTTCATTGCTACTAGTCCATCAATATTTGATGGATGATTATGAGCTGTATCAAGAACCGGGTCTTGATTATCTAGTGTTAAAAAAAGTATTGCACGGCATTTAAAAGAAGAATACTTTGAGCAGCGCCATCTAATCTTGTTTGAGCATTTTTTATGTATGGTATAAGAATAACCTTCAAATATGAGCTTTCCAGGATGAATAAGATCCATTAAATTTTTTTTATAAAATATAAATTTTATGAATAAAATATTTTTGTAAATTTAATTTTTTTTTGTCTTTATATACGGCATAAAGATCCAAATTATTATTGTATAATTTTATAAATAAATACCAATTATAGCGTTTTTAATTGATAAACAATCTATATTCTTTTGATTAAAAATACATTTTAAAACATAATGATCATAATACATTTTAATATCTGTTCATTTAACTAGTTGCTGAACAATAATATTTTTAACAAATTATTAACTTGCAATTGTCTAAATATCAATTATAGCGTTTTTAATTAATAACCAATTTTTATTGTGTTGATTAAAAATACATTTTAAAACTTTTAATACGCTAAAAACTAAAGGTAGTTGCATATCAATGAGGTGACAAATCATGAATAAATTAAAATGATCACATTTATTCAAAATACCAAATGCAAAAAAATCGAGTATTTTCCATTTGCATTTTAATGGTTTCAACTGAATTAAATTGTATATTGGGTGAATGTATATTTGTTTCTATTATAATAAATCACGAATTTATTTCAATATTCATCTTTTAAATATGCAATGAATTAAGTTTTTATTTCTTTATATACTGGCTGCTAACAACCAATCAAGTTATATACAGATGTATTTCTAAAAATTGATTATCTGCTTAAATAAATTTGTATTTAAAAAAAATCTGTTTGGATTGGCCTATTTATGCAAGCAGTTACTTCTAATAATTTAGAATATATACATAACGTTTTAAGTATCAATAGTAAATATAAATAACCCATCATATTGGGGGGTAAATTTGGATGGTGCATCATATTCTTAGGAAGCACACCAACTCCAGCAAGGCCCATGACAGTAGGAGGAGGTGGGGGTGGAGGAAGCATGAATGGTCTATCAGCAAAAAGTTGATGAGGTCATAATATTTTTAACAAATTATTAAGTTGCAATTGTATAAATACCAATTCAATATAAATAATTGCTAGACTTAAATATGAGAGTGTATAAAAATAATCCCAAGGGGTTTTTTTCCGGGGGTTTTATTTCCTGGGGGTTTTTTTCCGGGTGTTTTTTTCCTGGGGGTTTTTTTCCGGGGGTTTATTTTCCGGGGCTTTATTTCCGGGGGTTTTTTTCCTAATACCGTTTATAACATAACTCTATTTGTAATATTAAATATTCTAAAAAAAATTAAATTATTAAATAAAATTGACAAAGGAGCTTTGATACACGAAATAGTGGATATTATGGACATTAAGATCAAAGAAATCGAAGGTCATAATATATCGGAAAAAAAATATACGAAATATAAGCACAAGCTTCACATGTATTCGGGGGTAAAATTTTTAACTATACATTATGAATATGATTTTATAAAGATAAATTTAATCTGCTGTAATTTGTATAATTTTATTTCTATTCTATTGTTGGCCTAAAACTAAACACCAAATACATTTTATTCCCCTAAAAATTAATTCCAATTAAATATTGCTAATTATTTATATATATATATGTATATCCATCAGGGATCTGAACCGAACCGTCATTATTTACTGAACCTGAATCATTAAAAAAAATTGTCATTCAAGCCTGAAACTAACCTCAAATAAGGTCTATTAACTGGTTTGAACCTTTATTCTAATACTTTTAAAGATGATTAATAATCAACTTGGATTGAACAAGTATAAACAACTATTTTTATTTGATGGTCCCAGATGCCAAACTTAACATGTGTAAATATTTTCAATCATATAGTGCAAATGCATGGCGAAGTATACAAAATATGCTGTATTTCTTCACTGCGAACTTGGTATGCTCTATTTAGGCCTACAAAAATCGAATCGAATAATTGCGCTATTCTTATTCGTACGAATAATAAAATCATTAATCGTTTCGATTCGTCGAATATTCGATTCGATTCGAAAATTTTTCTAAAGCTTATAAAATATTTTGCAAAAAATTTTTTACAGATTTAAAGATGACACTTTTAAGAATTCTCTAAACTAATTGTCATTACAATATAAAAATTTATAGAAAATAAACGAAATAAAACCCAATGATTTCATATAACGTTAACCAAACAAATTGACCAAAATATCCGATTTTTAGAATTAGAATTGCTAATAAAAAAATATTTAAACTATTTCTTCAATCTAATATTCAAATTTTATTTAAATTTTCTAAAAATGTACAATAATCTCATTTTATAAAAATAGAAAATAATACAAAAATACAAAAATATAAATTATAATAAATCCGAATTTGATAATATCCAATTTTTTAAGCATAAAGTCTTACTAATAGTTTCCTCCTTCAAAGACATTCTATTTTTCATTATCATATTTGTTCCTATTGAGAACAACCGCTCACATGAAGCCGAATATCCCTGAATTGACAATATATCAGTTGCCATTTTCGACAACACAGGAAAACGATCACCATGCAATCTCCACCATTCTAAGGGACTCTTATTTGAACTGATTCTTATTTCGTTAAGATATGTCTCCACCTCACATACTGATGCGATGTTATTTTGTTTAAAAATTCTATCCATGTTCGACAGTACTATTGGGTTAACTGATGTTATTTGATATTATATTTTATTTTATAATCATTATATACATCTTTAAATTTTTCTAATAGATTTGTCGTGTCTATGTTATATGTAGTTGGTAGTTGCTCAAAAATTCCATTTTTAGTCTAGGATCCAATATTGTTGATATTATAGTGTGAATATTTGTTAAGTTATAATAACTTTCTATTTTCTCAATCGCACTAATGGAATTTATAAAATCGAGATCAAATGAATTTAAATGTTCGATTAAAGAAACATAGAAAGGGATGACAAGATTTAGGGTAGGATATGTGTCACCACATATATCTTCGGTAAAATCAAAAAAAGTCCTTAATTTGTTTTGTATGTTTATTAAAGTAGTCCAATCATCCTGATAAAAACTAATAATTAGTAAATAAAATTAGATTACTTCACTCAGTTTTTTTTCTTCAATATCAGATATATCATCATATATCATCTATATCTGAGTCACAACTTCATCAATATCCCTTCTCATTTTAATAGCTCTTTCGACCATTAAATAAGAGTTATTCCATCTGATGGATGTGTCTAATTTTAATTTTAAATATTTCATAGGGGGAAGAAGGGAGGAGTACACATTTTGCATAATATTTGTCTTTGTAAAAGAATTGCGAATAATCTTTATGATTGTTCTTAATTTTGATACTTGCCTGTCTACTTTCTTAAGTATTTCCTGTACTACTAAATTGAGTACATGTGCAAAACATCGCACATGTAAAATTTCACTATTTGGGTGTTTTTTACGAAGAATTTTTATGAAAGTAGAATTAGAGCTAGCATTATTGCAAGTAATTGCTCTCTTACTTATGTCGATATTATAATTTTTTATAATTTGAGAAAACTCTCTATAAATATTTTCACCAGAATGCCAATCAGTAAATGGAACTATATCCAATAACAATGATTTCATCTCCCATTTTTCATCAATAAAGTGGCAGGTCAACCCTAAAAATGGTACATTAGTAGGGCTTTACCAAATATCAGTTGTAAAGTTAATTTGGCATTTTAAATTATTTATAATTATTTTAACTTTATTGAATTCTTTATTAAAAATTTCATTCATATATAGTTTAATTGACGGTATTGAGCATATTTTTATTACAGGATTTAAAGCCCTAACGAAGGACTTGAATTCCTGAGTGGCGAGAATTTTAAAAGGTATATTTGACTTTAGCAAAAATTTTAATACATAATGCTTAACATCATCAGCATTTGTTTTGAGTATATCATTTAAATAGTTTCTAATAGTATTATTTTGTTTTTGGTGAAATCTTTTGTTATGATTAATTAGTGCTGACGTAGTTTTTTTCTTGCACATTATCTCCACATTGCATATTTTACATTTAGCTGTTTCTTTTTTAGCATCATGGAGATAATGATTCCATATTAAAGAATTTTTCCGCCTAGCATTAAAAGGTTCAGTGTGATCAGAGATTGATGTAGATCTTGAACTATTTGAGGATTGACTATGTCCTTCACCACATCTTCTTCCATTAAGATTTTCTAATTGATCTTTGAATATATTTTAACATTATATTATATAAAATCCAAGTTTACCATCCTTCCTGAAATTCCAGATTAATGACACATTAGAGGCTGAAAGAAAAAAACAGTAAATTAATTAAACAGTGGCATAGGCATGGGGGGGGAGTCTTTTTTTAAAAAATAAAATTATTTTAATTTACTATTTTTATTCCTATTATGAATTAGCAAAACCTTAGAGAAAATTAGACCTTTCTTTATAAATTCAAATCAAAAATAGCAATATGATAATATTAGTTTTAAATAATATTTATTTTTGTATTAGTTATAACATTAATATAATTTTTGTATTAATTCTTAAAATTTATGGAAATACTATTTTAATCAAAGTTATATTTTTTTAAATTTATATTTTATGTAAGAATTACATTTTTTTAAATAGTTTTTATATAATAAAAATTTTAAAATAATTTATATAAAATATCTACATTTTAAAATTTATTTTAAATATTTGCATAATATATAACAAATTTTAGAGAGTATTTCATTATAGATTTTATTTATTATATAAAAATACTTTAGTAGCATAAATTTCCTTTATTTAATCATGTATTTATTTTAATTATTAATATCATTTTATTAAAGGTGAAGGTGATTATGACAAAATAAAATTTTTAAAATGATAATCTATATAAAATATCTACATTTTAAAATTTATTTTAAATATTTACATATAAAATATAACAAAATTTTAGAAAATATTTCATTATAGATTTTATATATTAAAAATTCTTTAGTAGCATAAATTTCCTTTATTTAATAATGTATTGATTTTTATTATTAATATCATTTTATTAGAGGTGAAGGGATTATGACAAAATAAAATTTTTAAAATTATAATCTATATAAAATATCTACATTTTAAATATTTGCATATAAAATATAACAAAATTTTAGAAAGTATTTCATTATAGATTTTATTTAATATATAAAAATACTTTAGTAGCATAAATTTTCTTTATTTAATTATTAATATAATTTTTAGAGGTGATTATGACAATGTAATAGAGGATGAAGATATTATAATGCACTATCTGAATTAGATTGTCTTTAAAATTTGCCAAAAATAAGGTTACTAAATGGGAAAAGGATTTTCCTAATCAAATAATAAGAACTAGTCAAAAAAATTTAGTTATTTATATGCCAGGAGCTCAAGAATATGGGAAAGAGGCACACTCAATAAAAATGTTTTGACTTGTTCATAACATCAAAAATGATTAAAGAGAAACAATCAAAATAAAATAATTATATTTTACTTTGAAGCTTTCCTTTTCTTCCATTAAACTTTTTCAGCAAATATAACTTTTTATGATTTGATATTTGATAATAGGAATAAAATAAAACGAAATGATATCCACTAGGAAAATTTAATTACTTCTTTTTATTTTACTTGCAATAAAATATTTGCGAATAATTACGAATATTTATATATAAATAATTTCGAATAATACGAATAATTTTCCTCATTATTCATATTCGATTCGAAATTTCGAATCGTATAATTGCGTTATTCGTATTCGTAAAATATGAATCGAATATCAAATAACAAATAATTCGTTTTAGACCTAACTCTATTCCAGATTTGCGTTAACTATGAATAAGATGTTGACAAGATCATCTTGAAAATTTTCTGATTGTATATGGCTTATTAGTATTTTTTGGAGAATAGTGATGCTTCTCTTTTCATAATTCGAAATACACTTGTATTCGAAAATGTTAGAATCAATTTTAAAAAACAGGGTAAATTATGATTTTGGCCATATTACCTAATTTTCGAGATTTCTCCAAATGATGGCAAAGTTTTTGACCCTCTAGACGGATTATCGAGGTTTATGTATTTTAAAAAAATTGAATAAATTAAGGTTTTTAACAGCTCTGTCTTACCTAGCTAATAAAAGATTTTGCAAATATATCCTTTCCTCCAATCATCACTCTTCATTTTGCATATAAACGTGAAAGAGTTAAAGGACCATTTTTACATTTAATAGGAAAAATAAAGCAATATTTATTAATGAACAAGAATAAATAATATAGAATAAATTGGGGGCGATTGTATTGAATAACTACGGAAGATTGAAGGTTAAGAATATATCATCAATTGTAGAATGTGGAATCCGTGAAAATTAGGAATATTAATAATTAAGTTCTTTATTTTCAACTAAGATCAAATAAAAACAAAACAGTGAAAGTAATAATGAT